TTTCTGCCCTGCACCCGGATTTTTAAGGTCACCGGTCAGCTGAAGAGCCGGCTTTGCATTGCGTGCCCAGGAATTTGCGCTGCTCGGCTGTGTACTCAAGTGAAAGTCACGCCCGGGGGACGTGTGCAGCAGGCCGACTCAGGCCGCCGCGCCTGGCGATGGGCTCCTAGTGGAAGAGGCGGTGCGGACGCGGCTGCCCATGCTGCCCTGCTTCCAGCTGCTGCGAATAGGGGGCGGCAGGGGTGGCGATCTCTACACCTTCCACCCGCCCAGCGGAGCCGGCTGCACCTACCGCTTAGGCCGCAGGGCGGACCTGTGCGATGTGGCCCTGCGGCCCCGGCAGGAACCTGGCCTCATCTCTGGGGTCCACGCCGAGCTGCACGCCGAGCGCCGGGGCGAGGACTGGAGGGTCAGCCTGGAGGACCACAGCAGCCAAGGTGAGTCCTGGGCAGGGCCCCGCCCGGCCGCCCCAGAAGGTGCAGGCCTTTAACTTGCTCGCGGTCGGGGAGGCAGGTAGATCCAGGGCACCCGGAGGCAAGTGTCAGGGCAGCCGCGTTCGGGGGCCAGGCTGCACTGGACGCAGGGCGCGGCTTTGCAGAGGCGCCCCTCCCTCCCGGGGCTGGCCAGGCAGGAGTCTGCCTTGGGGATCCGGGCTTGTCTGTCGGCCTGTGCTTAGGGTTCTCGCCCCAGAGGCTGGCAAGACCTCAGGCCTGTCACTTGACCTCCCCAGGTCTGAACCTCTCGGTAAACACAGGCTTGGTGAGCTAACTCTTCTGGGGGTGCTGAGAGCATTAGGACTAGGGCGTGGCCGCCACTCGGCGCTTCCGGGTCTGAACTCGGCACCATCCACGCGTACCGATGTAGGTGTCTGACACTGTCCATCTACACACGGGGGAAGTGGCTTAGCAAACGGAGCTGGGGAGTGGTAGAGCCAGAATCTGAGCCAGGGAGAGCGACGCCAACCTTTCAAGTTGGAGCTGGCCAAAAGTAAGCCAGAGACTGGGACCTGGGTGCAGAGGAAGGCGCCCACTTACGGGAGAGCACAAGAGGAACTTGCCTCCTGCCAACAAGGAGCGTGTATGTGGGGTCCCCGGCTAAAGAGTCCTGCCCTGTGTTCCCCTGACAATCAAACAGGGTCAGATCTCTCCTGACTAGTTGTTTCTGTTCTTGTCCTTTGTGTCATGCCTGCCATTGACAGGGACTTTGGTCAATGATGTCCGACTCCCCAGGGGCCACAGGCTGGAGTTGAATGATGGTGACCTCCTGACCTTTGGCCCTGAAGAGCCCCTGGGTTCCAGCCCCTCGGAGTTCTACTTCATGTTCCAACAAGTGCGGGTCAAACCTCAGGACTTTGCTGCCATTACCACCCCTCGGTCAAGAGAAGCTGGAGCCGGGGCTGGTTTCCAGCCTATGCTGCCCCCCCAGGGCGCACCACAGCGGCCCCTCAGCACCCTCTGCCCTGCTCCCAAGGCCACTCTGATCCTCAACTCCATCGGCAGCCTTAGCAAGCTCCAGCCCCAGCCCCTCACCTTCTCCCCGGGCAGGGGTGGGTCCCAGAGTGTGCCTGTTCCCACCCCACCCCGGGAAGTGGGGCCTCTGCCTGGCCCACCCCCAAGAAACCGGAGGAAATCAGCTCACCGAGTGCTGGCAGAACTGGATGATGAAAGCGAGCCTCCCCAGAGCCCCCCAGTGCTCACAGAACCCAGGAAGAAGCTCCGCGTGGAGAAAGCCCCACAGGCACCTAGTGGGTAAGCAGAGTCCTTGAGGTCTTGTCAGGCTTCTGTCGGTATTTCACTGCCTCTTGGATCCTTTCTGAGCCTCGGGTTGTGAGGCCCCTCTGCTTGGGAGCCACAGATGAGAAGTGGACAGAGGCTGGACATTGGAATGGTGAGACCTAAGTTAGAGCGGATGGATAAATACACACAGGAGGCAAGTCAGTTGTAGTAGTGGTTAAAATTGGAATGGTGGCCTATAGTCCCGGCTACTTGGCAGGCTGAGGCAGTAAGATTCCACGTTTGAGGACAGCATGGGCAAGTTGGTGAGACCCACCAGACAGGGAGAAAGAGAGGGACCCACTGAGCTGGGTTTGGAGATGTAGTTCAGGGGCAGAGCACTTGCCTAGCATGAGGACCGGGATGGATCTCCCACACGGAAAAAAACAAACTCTTGCACTGTGCAGGTTGGCAGGTAAGGAGCTCCTACCCTTTTCCGGTGGACTGGGGATGGAACCCGGAACCGTAGCTTTACACATTACTAGGCAGGTGCTCTACCTCGCGAGTTACACCCCCAGCTCTAACTTCCTACTTTGTAGGACTTCAAAGGTAATTCCTCTAGTGTTTAGGGATGGAGAATTAGACAGGCAGGGGTGTTGTGTATCTGTAATTCTAGCAGTGTTCAAGGTCAGTGTGGGCTGCGTGGGAGGATCCTGTCTCCACTGAAAAGCTGGGGAATCAATTTCCCAGTCTCACATTATCTGAGTCTATCTAGGGCTCCCCCCTCATTGGTATTTTTTGTTTGGGGTACCAGGGATTGAACTCCAGACCTGCTTTCAAGGCAAACAGTGGAACCACTGAGCTAAATCCCCAGACCCTCGACCTGTTGTTATCCAGGGCCAAAACCTAGGCTTTCTGCAGGTTTTCAGTGACACTGGTATTTGTCGCTCCTTCAGAAATCGACGTGGCCGTCCTCGGAAGCTCCCAGTGAGCACCCACATGGCTCACCCTACAGTTGGGGGCGGAAAGCCCTGTGCAGCCCCTGGTTGCAGCCTGCCCCAAGGAGAAACAGTAGCCTGGGTTCAGTGTGATGGTTGTGACATCTGGTACCACGTGGCTTGTGTTGGTTGCAGCATCCAGGCTGCCAGGGAGGCCGACTTCCGATGCCCAAAGTGCAGTGTTGGCACCCAGACCTGAGGCCCACCACCCAGAAACCTCCAATCCACAGATGGACAGTGGGTTGCAGCTGGACCCCACTTTCCTTCTTCCCCTCCCTCTGCAGGAGGGAGTAACTGACTCCAAGGAGAGGTTGCTATGGACACGATTCAGGGCCTGGAGCACGCCCTAGCAGCCTCGGTTGCAGAAGCTCACTTCCTGTCGAAGACCAAGAACTGGGATGTTACAGGATGTAAGGCCTTGTTGCCATGGACATTACCGGATCCCGGCAGCACCCGGAAATCACAGAAGCCTTGCCTGAAAAGTTGGAGCTCTTAACGTTCTGGAATGGCACCACCTGAGGTACTCTGGCAAACAGCGTGCAGCCAAGTCCTCATACTGACCGATCCTGCCGCTGACCGGGGCCTCTGAACCTGGGGCTGGTTTCCACCCTGTGCTTTCCGGAGCTTTGCTCTTATTTCCAAATAAAGAACAAGCAGCTTTATCCATTCCCAGATACTTGCTCTTCTGATGCACTTTGCTTTCCGAATTCTTGGGCAAATAGACTTCTAAGTCTAGACAGTGAATTCAGATTCTTAGAAGGGCATGAGGGGAGAGCAGAGGACTGGGAACCTGCTCACTGGAAAGGATGCGATAGAGCAGAAGATAAACATGGGAATTAGGTTCCTGGCTAAAGGGAAAGCAGACCCATTTACATTTAAGAAAGGTAGTTAGCTGGGTATGGTGGTGCAAGCTTGTAGGCCCAGGATTCGGCAGCCTGAAGCAGGAGGATCAGGAGTTCAAAGTCACCCAGGGATGCACAGCAAGTTCCTGTCTGGTCTTTAAAAACCCCAAATAAACTAAGGTATCTGGGACTTGGTCAAGTTCGTGGATGACAGCTTTTATGGGGTTCACCAGTACTATCAGGGAGAAAAGCTGGCAAAGCAGCTAGAGCTGATGCTGATCTGGCCCAGTATGGCTTGGCCCTCTAACCCATGCACACATCGTACATGTGATTTCCTTTGTGGAAATACATCACCAAAGCAGAACATCTTTCCTATAGTTCTTGTTAAGAAAGCCTACCTCAGCCAGGCATGGTAGCACACACCTGTAATCCCAGCACTCGGGAGGCTGAGGCAGGAGGACCTATGAGTTAAAGACCAGCCTGGACTACATAGTGAGTTCCAGGTCAGTCTCAACTACATAGTGAGACCCTGTCTCAGCCCCCACCCCCAAAGCCTACCTCAACCTGGTCTTGTTTTTTTGAGACAGGGTCTCACTATGTAGTTGAGACTGACCTGGAACTCACTATGTAGCTCAGGCTGGTCTTGAACTCACCTGGATCCTCCTGTCTCAGCCTCCCGAGTACTGGGATTACAGGTATGCACCACGCCTGACACAACCTGGTCTATTGCAACCCATATTTTCCCCACATTCCCGAAACTGCTCTAAAGCAAAGGCCCCTAATTATCTACTGGCAGAGCCAGAAATGAGATGAGGTTTCTTGGAGTAACTTATGGACAGGGTATGCAAGAACCTCAAAATCTGAGCAGAAACCACATGGACCCTGGAGTTGAGAAAACACAAGGAGCTGGGCACCGTGGTGCTCACCTATAATCCCAGATGTGCAGGAGGATTGCAAATTCAAAGGTAGTTTGGGTGACTTGGTAAGACCCTGTAAGGTTGGGGCTGTAACTCAGTGCAAAGGCCCCAGATTTAACACCCAGCACCACAATGAATGAATGAAGGATAGATACAGACAGGCAGATGTAAACAGGTGGCAGTTTAGCTCAGCCTAAATTGGGGTTCAAGCCCCAAACCCAGCCAAAGAACAGAGTAGTTTCTAGCCAGGCAAGGTGCAGCAGGACCAGTATCTGAGGGACTTACTTTTTTCTTCTTTTTGTTACTGGGGATGGAACTTGGGACTTTGCACTTGCCAGACAAGTGTCAGGAACCACTGAGTCCCAACCCCAGGACCTTACTTCTTAATGCAGAGCCCGAGGACTCTGGGTACCACCGTGACACAAATACAGCTCCAAACAGGAAATGGGCTATACAGCGCCTGCATCTGGCAAGCAGAGGTGTAGCATTCAGCTGAAACTGCAACCCCAACAGTCACCTCTGCCTAGCGGGACCCTCTACAGATTACCTTGGACCCAACCCCAGCTCCCCTCAGGCACTGTGAACTCCGGCAGTTCTGATGGCACTCGGTGAGAGCAGTTAGTGTCTGTGTCACTGGGTTCCTCCATCCCTACCACGTCTTCAGTAACTAAAGGAAAACAGAGACCAAGTGTCTGCTGTGCCCCAGGCTTCTTTATTTAAAATCAAAGAGATGAGGGGATTAAAATCAAGAGCATCATCAAACCTCAGCTTCCCTCCAGCCGGTTCCCCCAAACTCCCTGCCCCACCCTCTGTGCTTCTAATTGCTTCCTTAGTGAGTGAAGAACAACCCCAAAGCCCTGGCGGACTCCAGCCCCTTCCCTAGCTCCTCCCCTTCCTCCACCTGCCACCCAGGCCAAGAGGCAGAGACAGCGCCTCAGCCTCAGTTTGAGTGCATGGGAGAGCCCAGAGCGGCGACGGACACCGGGGGAAAGGCTTCCCCCTCTGGGAAAGGGACGGAGGAGTAGAGCGTGGTGAAGTGGGGGCTTCCGTACCCTGGGGAGCCAAAGTGGGGCCCTGGTGCCAGAGGAAAGGATACGGGTCCCCCTGGAAAGGGAGATCCCGCCGCCTCATAATCCTCTCGCTGGGAATAGTCGCTGCTCGATCGTTTGCCCTTCTGGCGTCGGTTACAGAACCACACTCGGACCACCTGAAGCGGAGGAACACAGGATGGTGGCATTAGGTGTGGTCTGGGGCGGGTCTGGCTCGGTCCTGTCACTTTCCCCGCACAAGCGGGAGACGGAGCCCCGGCGGGCACACTCACGTCCTTCTCGAGCCCCAGCTGCTGCGCGATGCGGCTGATCTGCTGCAGCGTGGGTTTCGGGCACTGCAGGAACATGTTCTCCAGGTTGCCTCTCACTTGGTTCTCGATACTGGTCCGCTTCCTCTTCCGGGCCTGCATGAGGCTCTCCGTTTTGCATCTCTGCGGAGGGAGAGGGAGTCTGCCCTCATGGACCTGCTGAGCGCTCACTGCAGGGAGCGGGCGTCGCCTGGATGTCTCCTCAGAGCGGGGAGGTGAAAAGGGGGTGCCGGGGGTGCCGCTGGGCAGCGCAGCTGGGGATCTGCACCGACCCCAGCGGGCTGGGGGGAGGGCACACGCCCGAGAACTGCTGTCCTCGGCTGTCGATCAGTCTCAATCTCACAGGGGCGTGCAAGGCCTGGGCAAGGTCCCCACCGCACCACAAAACAAGACAGAAGGAAAGGGGCAGGGTGTGGTGACCCTTACTTAGCCCAGCACTTGTGAGGCCGAGACAGGACTGCCAGAGTTCAGGGTCAGCCTGGAATATAGCGGACCTCACGTCAAAGCAGCAGGCTGGGGATTTAGCTGTGGTTCCACCCCCTGCCTCGCAAGCCCAAGGTCCCTGGTACCCCCCAGAAGGAGCTGCAGGCCAGGGACTCAGGTGAAGGCGGGGCGGTGACTCAGCGGGGCCGCAGCCCTCCCTTACCTCCTGGAGGCTCTCGTTGTTGCTGTCGGCCTCCTCCACCCACCTCTGCAGCAGGGGCCGCAGCTTGCACATGTTCTTGAAGCTGAGCTGCAGAGCTTCGAAGCGGCAGATGGTGGTCTGGCTGAACACCTTCCCTGGGGGGCCAGCGAGGACCGGCGCGGTCGGCCTCGGGCTCCTCCAGCCTCCCACAGGCCCGGCCTCCTCCCGCCCCAGACCCGATCCGATCCCCACTGAGGGGACCCACCAAAGATGGCGCCCAGGGTGAGCCCCACGTCGGCCTGCGTGTACCCCAGGGTGATCCTCTTCTGCTTCAGCAGCTTGGCAAATTGCTCCAGCTCTTTCTGCAGGGCGTTGATGTCCTGCGACTGCATTAAGGAGAAGGCAGAGGACCTGTGAGCACGCAGACGCGCCAGCTCTGACCTCGGCTCCGGGCCGTGGCGGCCCCAAGGAACTCGCCACAGCTTTTCCTGACACCGGCGCGTCCCGCACACCGGGAGCAC